ACAGCCCGCAGGGTGTACAATTTGGCATCGCCGCCTTGCTTTCAAATACACAGGCATGTAGGTGGCCCAACAGCACAGGACTTTGTTGCCAAAGTCCTTAACTTCTGCTATTTTCTCACACTCAGTTTCTCGTTCACAGAACAGCCCTGGATTTTGTGACTGGTTTTGAACGCAATTCTCATCTGACCAAGTCAATAAGCAGAGATCCGCAGTTTTACATGATGCAGGACATCACAAGGTTAAGGGGTGATCATCATTTGGGATTTTGCTTCTCCCTGCAAGAGTGGCTTAGAAATGGGTTTTGGAAAAAATCAGAGGCAACCCAATACATTTTCATATGCAGAAAAATCTAAAAAAAGGAAAGAATTTTAGGTGTCTGAGCCCCCCACCGTGTGTTTCCTTCCAGCACTCAAGAGCTGTGGCTGTATTTGCATGAATAACTAAGAAGTTCATATTAAGCTTAAATATTTGCCAAGAGCAAACTTCAAACCACTTCTCATCTGCCAGCTTTGCAAGTTGCACAGTGCTGATTAGTTCCGTAAATCACCTGACCCAGAAGCATCTGCTAAGCAATTTATGTAGGCACCTGCAAAAAAAGTGGAGGCCAGCAAAACCCCTTTCCAGTGGGGCATGAGATCCAGCTACATCATTCACAGTCTACACTGGGGCAAGGCTTCCAAATATTCCCAGCAAGGGGCACACACCTCCTTGAGGTCCTCTTCCGTGGAGCCAGCTGAAGAGTTAAACTCTCCCAAGGGCCCATCAGGGTCTTTCAAGAGCAGGCTCCTCTTTCTAAATACAGATCATTTGCCCAGCTCTGTTTCCTATAACTCCTGGACTAGCTCAAGGCTTGCATGCAAGTAGTTTTCCTATTTCTCTGTAACAAAATAAAGCTCTCCTGGCAGAGAGCCCTGGAGATCCCTGCAGCAAAGTGATGGACACCCTCATCACCAGAGCAAAAATCCCAGAGCCAGGAGCACTGAGCGAGGAATCCCTTAGGAGCAACTTTTTAAATCAATCCTTTCCTTCCCCAGCTCTAACTGCAGCTGGTGGGCAGGAAGAGTTTGTTAACACAAGCCCTGGGTAACTACTGTAGGTGGCATTTGCCAAGTAAACCCTGTGCTATTACTGTATAAATAAAAAGCTGTTTCATGACATTTGTATCCGTTAGCTTACAGCAGTAAGGAGAGCAATAAAGCAGCTGGGTTAGTGATAGCAGCACCCTCCAGAACAGGAGCCTGGCTGCTAGAGGACCCCAGACCTGGCATCTCTTCCTCTTAGATGGGGAAAACCATAATGTTCCCTGGATGGAAATCGGATAGCCATTTCCCCACTCTTGAAAAACACCTTAAGCAGCACCATGCAGAGATGGAGAGGGAGGACAAGGTAAATCGAACCACACAGCCTGCTGCAAGCACTCCCTGCCCCATGCTAGCATAGCAAAGCCATCACCTCTGTAAGGGCAAAAATGGTGTAACTCAGGTGGGTCAATGATAACTGCTCCCAGAAAGAGACTTGACAGCACTTCTGTAAGACAGGATGAGCATAAAGCTTATCTAGCAGACTGCTCAGACTGATTTCCAGGGACAGCATTCACCCTGCTGAGTGCAGCAAGCCCGGAGCAATACTACCCAGATGTGCCATCGACTCAGAGCCACACAATGTGACAATTCCCATGCAGGGAGAGAAGCACGTGCTGGCCAGAAGTGGTCCTGCAGACAGCCCGCGCTCAGCAGGGCTCAGTCACCTAAGGTCTGGCTATGTCTGGGTAGCGGGAGGTGATCCAGGGTCTGGGAGCACATTTGTAACTCAGCTTCTACCACCTCATGAGCCTGACAACGCATTTGTGTAATAAAAACTCATCTTGGAGGTAAATGGTCTATAGGGACTTAGTGCTTGTCCACTAAAGCTGTTTTGCTCTGTAGTTCTTTGGCCTTTACAGATGCCTTGCAGCCAAGCAAGTGCTGACAAACCTATGGCATGAAAAGTTATCCCTTCACTGCTTGGACTGTTCTGGGATCAGTGACCCAAGCTTGAGGCCAGTCATCCTGAGGGCTGGCCTTGGACAGGGGACCACATGGAAACCACAGGGACAGTGAGCATGTGCCAGGACTGCCCTGCTGACCACTGAGCTTCCTAGCAACTACACTGAGTGGGCTGAAAGACTATTTGTGCTTCACTTTCCCTGTGGGTAACAGGAAACAGAGGAGCCATACCTGAGATGTCACAGTAGACCGTTTGTTGATAGACTCTGGCTTCTTGGGGTTTAAAGATTACTTTAATTTCAGCTGAAGAATTTGGCCAGATATCTCCCTCCTAAAACAGAAGGAGACAGCAAACCATTTATCTTCAAACATTACATTTATTGTTTTCAGCCACAGCCCTGTACCCTTTATTTAGAGCATCAATAAAGAGCAAGGAGCAAGTAACACTTATTAACAAAAGAGTTTGGAAGCAACTGCAAAAAAGTTTCTAAGGTCCCTTACCTTTACTGGCACCTGGTAGAGGCATTTTGTTAAGTTAGGACCACAAAGCAGCAACCAAACTGGCTCACACTCCAGCAAATCAAGCAGGATTTCTTCAGAGGTACCAGTCAGTCTAAGGAAAAGGTACCTCTCTCTCCTCCAAACCTTCCCTTATACCCCTGTATCACCATGGCTATGTGAACACTTCTACTCAGATCAGAAGAGATTTAGCAAAACAAATGGATTTTTTCATTTTTAGTTGTGAAGGTGCTGCCTCATACCCTTCACCTATACTTGTATTTAAGTACCTAGTGCACTTCAGTGAGCTGAGGCACTCAGCACCTAGCAGAATAAGCCCTCCTGCCTGGGGATCAATGAAGAACAGACTCCTTCCTGCCTGCTTCTGCCCCGTGCTGTGAGCAGTCAGCCAGCATGCAGGCTCTTCCAACTGATGGATGATCTGGGAAAGGAGTTGAGAGTCAGATACTTTCCTGTTTCCCTGAACACAGGCTCAAACAACAAGAGATGGGAATTGCTTACAGCTCCACACCTCTTTCAACCAACAAGCTCTTTTCCTTAAATCCTTTGGGATTGAAGTCTGGGCCATGCTACCAGTGTGTCTGCAACTGTCTGCTGCTTCCTTGGGGTCTTCCCTCTCTGCTTCTCTCCCAAAGAGTCTTGGCACTGGCACTCAGTCCCAGGGAGCCTTGTCACGCATTTTCAGAGGCATCTCTGGTTTCTAAAGGCTCTTTCTTACATCTTACAACTGGCTTAAACAAAGGCACCACTTACATCCCCTCAATCCCTAGCATTACAAATGTTTCTTCATGCATTTGTTGACATAAATACAGGCACCTCTGACAACTGTAACAATATTCTACATAGAATGAAAAATTTAGCTTATAGGAGACAAAAAGAAGAGAGTTATTTTCCTATCAACAAGGTGAGGCTTTGATTCTGCTTGCTGCTGGGTATCCTCAGTACTTTGTCCAGAAGAGTCTTGAACTGACTGGAGCCTCTGGCACTCCTGCAGCATCAATATTAAATAACTATAATACTTTCCATTGACTTAGCACTTACAGCTCAAAGGACAGCCCCCACAAAAATTAAAGAGTTATGACATGGTGAGTTATTTGGCTGCAGTTGCAAATAATTCCCTAATGCACAGCCTGCCCAGAGTCAACAGAACAGAGGGAAGAACAGGCAGAGAAAACTGTTTCAAACACCAACAAACCAATAATAAGAAAAGAGAATTCTGAAAGAAAAAAAGTCATTTGGATTCTTCTCAAAACCTAGAGCAAACACATTCGCCAGATCAAGCGTATTTCATGTTTCTATCCAGCAAGCAACTGGATGAAGATTAAGCCTTACGATGTGACAACACACTTGCTTGAGGAAGTAAATTAGGAACATCATCCTGCAACCCTCAGTCAGCACGCTAGGTATCAGATCCCTCTGTCCTGTAGGGATGCTGCATGGACTCACAAGCAACCAGAGAGTTATCTTGGATTTACAGGAATGAAAGCATTTGGGGTGCTGTGAACAACATAAGCCCTGCTGCAACACCTGGAGCTTGCCTAAGCCGAGCCACTGAGAAGAAGCACTCAGATGATAGATTTCCCTGGCTTGGCTAATTAGTCTAACGACTCACCAGTGGTCGTCAACCAGCTGCTTGCTGTGTGTTTAACAGACTGAATTCAGTGGTCTCACCCTGGGCAGAGCACCCCTGGGGAGGGGGGGAAGGCACTAGGCAGCTGCTTGCCTTTGCTTCAAGCCTGACAGCTGCAGCTGAACACACATCTCACCTCACTAGAGTTCTGCACCCCTCCTTAAAGGGTGCTGCATGGGCTGAGCTGCTCAGTGGTGCTGCTTGATCCTCCAGCTGCTGTGGCCCTCTGCCCAGAGAGCTGCAGACAGCCCTCCTTCAGTTCCTGCACAGCAAACAGTGTCTTGCCAGGCTTACCAGCACCACCAGCTACACAAACACTTGCTGCTGATATGCTGAGGAAGGACACTAATGACACGCTGAGAGCAGTGATGATGCTTCAGATCTTCATCTTATAGAGGGGCATAAAGCAGGGGAGGAGAGCACATCCTGAGCCTTAAAACTAAACACAGGGGTACAGTAAAAGGAAGTTCAGCAACAAGTGGGAGTGAAATGAGCCAAATTTCAGAACAGCCACCCAGATCCTTCCAAGGGAGTGTCTCCACTTACTCTGTAGACAGCAAACTGGGGAGAAGGGATTTGAATGAGACAGGACAGGATCAACAAAGCTGAGGGTGAAAACTGATGCCAGGATTTGACTGTAGTTCTGCCATCAGGCTTACAAGGGCTGTGCACAGCCAGATTACCAAGGGCATGCAGCTTAGATTTTGCGCTGGCTGTCAGACAGACAATGTCTACCATAAACTAAGCACCCAGTTTGCTGTCACTGTGTTATTTCTTGCAAGACTTCGGGTTCTATCTGAAAAAGCAGAGTCAGATTTTATACCATGCTGTCATTCAGTGCAACGCTGGCTTCTCTAAAGCAGAGTTCATATGAACAAGAATGAGGTCTCAGAGCCAAATAATTCCTGGGAAACTCTGAGAGCATCCTTCCTTCCACCGAGGCCAGAAAAACTTCTTTGAGCCTAAAACAGCAGTATCTGTCTTTGAGGTCAACTATTTGACAAAGCGCTGTTTTGCTGCTGGCTTCTGCTGGATCACAAGCTGATGGTACTTGCTGGTCTATTTTATGTGCCGCAATCAGATATATTGGCCCTGTGGACACTTTGGGGCAGTTTGGTTATTATTCAGAGGCTGACAGAGGCAATACATCTCCCATTAATGGAAGCAAGTGTAATACAATTCATAAGCAAAAATGAAGCTAAGAGGAAAGGAAGAAAATTAAAAAGAACCATTGGACTGATGAATATGTATCTGCTAACAACAGCATACTTTTCTAGCTGAGCGGGTTTAGCTGACTTTGGGATTTGATGAATTCCAAGGCCAGCACATCTGTGACAGAAATATAACCGACACTGCGATCTTACTGTGCTCCAAAACAGAGAGATAACAACAATATATCACAGAGGCAGGGATAGGGATGGAGTTGAGAGGGCAGAGGACCTAGGAAGGTGGTACAGAGCCAGAAGGCAGGGGCAAGAGTGGGAGATAAGAAACAGCCCATGCTTGATGCTTCTGACAGCTCTGTCTTCCTACAAGCTGCACCCACATCACCTGTCCTGCTCTGATCGCCACCAACTGAGCTTTGGGTGAACAGGACCAGGATGGCAAACCTACCTGTTGCCCCACTAAGCTCTGGCAGCCAGACAGACCAATACTCTGCACTCCTGAGCCCCTAACGTGACTTGCACAGCAACAGTTCCAATGGCAGTGGTAAGTATGCACAGGGAGACAAAGTATTTCAGTAAATTCTACTTCCCCATTTTACAGCATACAGGAATGGAGGCATAGCGAGGCTTTCACCCACCACAGAGTCCATCCATGCTTCTGTGGTACTTGCAGTGCTCCTCTCAGGGCAGCCACAACCTTCCAGGAGCAACTCGGTGGCAGGGCAGCACCGTTAGCCTCAGTTTCTCCGAGGAGGTCCCAACATACAGAAGCAGTTAGCACTGAATCTCCAAGACCTGAACACCCAAGTGTTCAGGACAGATGTGAGAGTATTCACACTTACAGAAAGTTTATATATCAAACTTGGATCATCTACAGGGAGCCTTAGGCTACAAAGCCTACGTTTCCCTTGAATGCAGAAGCTGAACATCCCAGGTTCTCCACCAAGCCAGGACATCTGAGTTTTGTGTCAAAGGCAGGTGATAAGGATACCCCTCCTCCTGGGAGTAACCCAAAAACCCTCTGATGGTCCTCACACCACACCAGCTGTGTACTAGGCCCAGGAATGCATGGCGATGTGCTACCTCATAGCCCAGAAAGCAGCCTTTGTGCATGCCCTGGGGTCCCTGCAGATACTGAGCTTGACACCAAGAGCTGCCCTATGGAGCAATCCCTTCCAGTTTTTGCAGCTTTGGATTAACCTGGTTGGGATTTGGGATAAGCAGCCCACACTTATCCTGTTCTCAAGGGACAATTCCTCTTGCCACAAAACTGCCTTGTGGAACCAAGTCTGCCTCAGTATCCTTTCCTTCTCCACCCTGGGACCTGTCCCCATGAAACCTCTGTCCCCAGCAGTCCCTACAAACCTAACAGGCACCAGGTAGCTGGACCCTGGCAGAGCCAGCAGTGATACTCTGCCTCCCGCTGGGTGCCACAGCTTATGTCCATCAGGACATCTCAGATGGACTCCTGGAGAGAAAACCATACCTACCTTCACCTTTGCAGAAGATATTCGGAAACAAGCTCACAAACAAAGGCAAGGCCCTGTCAGAGAGCTGGGTACCCCAGCCAGGACTCATTCTGCCCTCTGCTTACAGGCAAGCGAGCACAAAAGGCAGGAGAAAAGTATCAGGGCTTTGCAATCTGCTCTGGTTGCCTGCTGGTCTCCATGCGGAATATGAGACATTGCTCATGACATAGAAAGCCCTAGTTGTCCCAGCCTCCTCCCATTACTGCATCACTGTTGCTGTCAGAAGGGGAAATCAGAGTTGGGTCAGTGCCTCCATGGCATTTGTCTGACACTAGAATTTGAACCTGGCCCAAGACAACCCAAATCAAACATCAAGACAGTGAACTTCCACTGCACCAAAAGAGACAGCTTCAGCAAGAACCTGGGAGAACACTGCAAGTGTACATCTCCAAACTGCAAGGGAGTGGAAATGAGTCCCTGCAGGCTTTATTCAGAGTGCCTGAGCCCCTGCTGCGATGATTTGCTCAATACTGCCAAGACCACAGTGATTGCTGCAATGCTGCTGGGATCTTTCTGTACACTGTATAATTAACCAGTACAACAGGAGGGAGCCTAGAGCTTTGGGCTGATGTCATTTCTTCTTTTACAACCTAAATAGATGAGGCTGCAGCACACAAACCCCCCTTGCCAGGGATGATGTCTTGCCATGCTCTAGGAAGCCACTCAGTGATGCAGCAAGATCCTGACAAGGGACATGTCTCCATACATCTGAAGAGCTGCGGGATCCCAAGGCACAGTCAGATGAGACTCCTCTAAGGCACCAGAGGAAACAAGCCTACGGACTAGCAATAAAACCTATCCTTTTCAATGCATCAGCATAGCTCTCTGGAACAATCCTCATGCAGCATTATTACTGGAGCCTTGCACGCATATCCCCACTCCCAAGAAAACCTGCACCAGCAGTTAATAGACTTAAGTCTCTAGAGCTCCTGATATGAAATCACCATTCTGCAGAATTCGATGTATTTGGACAAACTTTTGGCAGTACATCCATAGACAGCTTCCCTGTATTGTCAGTGAAGCTATAAGCCAGACCGCTTGACTCCAAAGGTGGAGGGCAAGAAGAAATAATCAGTTACGCTTTATTCTACTATTCCATGGCTAAAGCAAATTCTTTAAAGATATAACTATTCTGGGAAACTTTTGTCATTTCTCCCTTCATTACTGCTGTATGTCAGACTACAAATCTAGAAAATATTGTGAGTTATTTCTCCTGGGAAATTAAAATTGGCTGTTGAAGAGGTTCCTCACATTCCTGGTACCACACACAGAAAAAAAGAACTGCTGGTTAAAAGGATATGCTTCATTACCCACCCTTACAGGCTATTGCTACATGTGCACAAGCCTCGGGACACCTCAGAAGCCAGAGGTCTTCCTGGGCTAGCATGTTCTCTATAGGATGGCAGTTGAGTCAGAGCATGGAAAACTACCACGGATGCTAACCAGGACAGAAATAAAACTGCAGTGTTGTGAACACAATGTTGCAACACTTCTGGCTTAATGTCAGCCTCAGACAGGCTGCAACTGGCAGGTGGCATAAAATACAGATGGTGGATACACGATGACAAAGCACAAACACTCCAGCTGTTGTACCCTGGCTTTGCTACAGCAGAAAGCAATGTGACACAGGAGGGGATGGCACACCATGACTCAAAGCGATGGAAGTGATCTCTGCGCAAAAGCCAAATCATAAAGAGATGCAGAACCTATTTCCCCTACCTCAGCCCCTAAACAATGAGAATCAGCATGCTAGATCTCCACCAGCCTGAATACGAAAAAGCCGATCTTGAAAAGCTGAGCGCCACCAACTGTTGGTCAAATCACCTACTTCGTTTTGCAGTGGAGGAAGGCAATCCACAGAAAGGAAATCACTGCTCAAAGCAGACAAAAAAACAAAGAGAGCTGGCAACAGAAGTACTGAGATGACACTCAAAGTGCGTCCTCTTCAGGGCACTTAGGAGATAGGCAGTACCAAAGCTAACATCTGCCTCTTTCCATAAATAACTGCACCCACAGCGAGCTGTGGGACAGACCATAGCTCCCACTGGAGATGGCACTTTCTCCCCAAAACTGAAGTGCTCTGCAGTAACCTCTCATTTGGATGGGGTACAGCTTGGTTCCCCAGCTAAGGTGGAGATCTGGAGGAACAAACAACACCGTCACCTCCTGGCCCGACTTCTGGGTCAACAACAGTAGCAGTTTCATAACCTGGACATCTTGAAGACCACCTCCATCAGCTCAGAGTTAACATGTAACACTGAGAAGCCACTACCAGGCAATGACAGGACAGTGATGACTTGTCAAGGTCAGTGCAATAGTAAGAAATCCTTGCCCTCCCTTTCCTCTGGTTTCCATTTCCGAGGAGTCAGCTCCCACATGTCTGCAATGTGACTTAAAGCTAAGCTGTAGTAGGGAGGATGCAGCAAAAAGCAAGGACTTTGACCTTTGGTAGCCACCTGGACTTCTACCATGGCTGCTTCTGCTGACATATCACGTGTATTTGCAGAAATAAATTAAATCAAATTTGAGATGCACTCAGAAAGTCAGAGTTGCATAACAGCTTGTTTCCCACAGGCTTGGATGGCTGCTCAGAGTGTTCGTGGTCATGTGGTAATTCCAAAATCACTGCTTCCTCTTTTTTGTTATTATTTTCATCAGCAAGTTAACCCTATAGAGGCCAAAGTGACCTGCTGTAGCTTCTACAGACAGCAACACCTGAAAATACTGGCAGCTACTGGTCCACTTGCACAGCAAAACTTCTGCACAAACCCTGCAAAGCCAGCCTGCCCAGAAAGCATTTCCAAGACTATCCCTCCACCAGCTCCCTAACCTTTGGAAGCAATTATTTCCTCCAGTCACTTGTTACAAGGGTCTGATGATTTCTATAGGGTGCTCCCGGACATCACAAGTGATAGGTGGGAAGAAGAGAGCAGCCACTTTTGGCCAGAAGGTCTGAGGCAGCAAGGTCCCAGCTCTGGGGGGCCTCTACAACAGATTTACATGGCAGTGCAAGAAGGGTGTCCATCCAAGGTAAAAGTTACAGGGCCATCACCAGAGAGTTGGTTGCAGAAGTCAGTAACAGCAGATTTTTAGATTCTATGTTTGATAAAGAGGAGAAAATACTTACTATCATTTGATGTAAAGACACCCACATGCCAGGAGGGAAGACAGACATGAGCAAAACTCTGAATGTGAAACTGACTGTTCCATAAATAATGGAATAAATGGAAATCAAAAGACTGAGAATGCTGGACAAGACAGAAGGGGAGAGACTCATGCAGTAGCCCACTTATATTCAGTCCCAGAGCATCTGTGTAACATGAACATAGCCATTTAGGAAAGGTTTCCACTCAGGACTTGAGGCCAGGCTACACTCTATGTCCGTACATCATTACAAGCAGTACCAGGACTCAGTACTGTGGGCAGTCAGACTTCTAGACCTCACCTTACTGCACTTCAGGAGCTCAAGAGCATGTTGAGCTAGTTGTGGAGACATAGTCTAACTGTAATGAAGCAGGAGCCCTGGGACACATTCCAAAACCAGCTCTGGCCGTGCAGGATGCTCTTAACGCTCAGCTGATCAGCTCCCACTCTCTACAATATTCCTACTGCTCTGACATTACTGCTCCGACACTACTGCTCCCTTGGTCACATCATGCTGCTGCAGGCTACAGTGGTGTGAAACTGCAGTTGTACTGACACTGGTGGCTCTCAGCCTTATAGGGGCTATAGGAGTAACCAAAGAGAGAACATGATCCCCTTCCTTGGAAAAAAAAAAATAGTTTCACCTATTTTAAAAGGAAGAAGAGGTTGGGATTATTCTAGGGTTTAGTCCAAGATGAGAAGGGATTTTGCACTGCTCAGACAGCAGGCATTCTTCGTCTCAGGCCATGCAAATATTCAGAATCAGGGCTCTGGTTGATTGAAGGACATGGGGTTTTGCTTGCATAAACAGAGATTTTTTCTGTACTTATGTGCAACAGAACTCAAAGTCTGTTTAAACCTGCCAGCCTTGTGTCCAGACTCACAGATGACACTGGAAGGGAGATCCAGATGTGGTGTAAGTCCAGGTTATACAAAGGGACTGGTATTTCTGTGATTAAATTTGGCCTCCTTTCTACAGAGGACCATTTCATTCTTCAGGTCAACATGTGAACTGACAGTGCTCTAATATCCTTCGTTAATCCCCATACACTACGTGTAAGGTGAGCCCTTACATATAATAATCAATACATCTGAACACTGTAAGGACACACATTAAGAGCCCTTAATATATAGCCCTTGCAGCAGAGCTCAGCTTTAGGCAGGCTCCTGCAGCCTGTCAGGAGGCCACAGTTAGGAAATGCTTTTTACAACAAGCTCTCCCAGCCTCACTAGAAACCTGACATTGTGTCTCTTGGCACATCAAGCCAGCTGACGCAGGGATCTGCCAAGTGACCTCATTCAGGGAGGAGGAGGAGGAAGAGAAATTCTCAGCTATTGCTTACCGCCGGCTCAATGGTGAAGGTATCATCAGAGGAAAGCATGGAGTCACCTTGCACCTTTGCCCTCTGGCTCTGGAAGGTGCGGGAGAGAAGGGAAAGGCGTTCTTGGAGAGTGGGGTCCATCACGCACTTCTTGAGAGAATAATCCTTCTCGTCCTCTTTCTGCTTCTGCAGCCTGCGACACAGCCTGCAGCCACGGGGAGAGACAAACCAAGCAGACAATTTAATAAGCAACATATGTGCAGAGACTGTCACGTAAGTGCAGGGGCAGCAAAGCACTCAGGGAGGAACCGCAGCAGCTCAGCAAGGGGCTGACCCCGAGCCACGGGGTCCCAAATGGATCACATTATCACTTGTTCACTGGCATGGCAGCTATTTTTACTCCACACCTAAAAGTTAAAAAGAGGTTTTTGAAAACCAGCAGCCTTCAAGAGAGCCTCCTGGCTCAAAGCCACTGCCACAACTGATGGAGAATCCACCAACCACCTGAACTGGTTTTTCCCACCATCAAGCTGCTCAGGGGAGGCAGACAGAGATCAAGGAGCACCCACTGCATTGCTTCACTGGGAAGGGGAGAAGCAGCTGGGTTTCAGCTGCAGGTTACTAGCATCACTCTTTTTCTTCCCTTTTAGACCTACAGGGATAAGCAAACTATCTGCTCTCTGCTCCCTATGCTGCCTTCCATCAGAGGATCCCAGAGCACTTTAAAAGCAAACTAATGAATTCAGGTGTTGCATTACTTTGGTGAAATTAATGGGTTTATATCCATGAAAACAGAGACCCTGAGAGGGGAAGAGGCTTTGCCTAGTATGACCCAATAAAGAAGTCAGGACCAGCATCTCTGAATCCAAACCCTTACATCTAGCCTTGAACCACCTTATCTTTTTTCCTCTTTTTGACCTTCTCTGTAGAGCTCTGACACAGTTAATCTCTCCCTCCCTTAAAGTTGTAACAGAAATCATTCTAGTGTTTAAAGATCACAACCAGAAGAGCACTGCTACAAAGCAGTTGCTTCCTAGCTGGCATATTGCTGTCTTCCCTTCATGCTCGAGTCCCCTGGCCATGAAGAACCAGCAAGCGACAACTCTGGGGGGATGAGTGGAAGGCTCTATATGTAGTAAATTGAGGCAACGCAGTATACACAGGATAGCGATCATCACCCAGCTAAATTCCAATACAATTAGAAAGGAAATACACTCATGGACATTACTAGCTGCACAGACAGAGCCTCAGGCAAATGCTGTCACCAGTGCCAAAAATACGTGCTTTGGCAAGCTCCTCGTGGAGCGCAATGGGAAATGTTTCTCCATGGCTGACCTACAATGCTGTGCATCAGGAGGGCTTCCAGCCACTAAGATAAGCAACCCTCAGCTCAACCTCCATCAACAGACAATAATTCCACCATTAGATCCCAGAGAGTCCTGCAGAAGGGAAACAGAGCAAATCCCTGTATAGGCCTTCTAATGATCCAGGTCTTTTGGGGTCACATCCCTGTGCAGGGTCCTCTCATGAAAGTCCTCTCTGCTCTGAGATCTCAAAAGCTTCTCTGACAGCAGGAGAGTGGCCTTGGAGCTACTACCATCCCTAAGGTTGCAAGTAAGGGAGAATAAAACGTCCTGGTCAGAGTCTAGGACACAAACTGGCATGAGATCAAAAAAAAAAAATCAGGTTTAAGTTAACTGGGAAAACCTGGTTGCTTCTGAGGAGAAAAAGGATCACTCAAAGTCCAGTCTGAGGCAGACGGGAAAAAGATGGCAAAGGGACAGTGCAGGGAAGAACCAAGAGAAGGTCATGAGGTAATTTTTTTTTAACACACTGAGCTTGCACAGAACTCACACACTGTGTAATTAAAAATAGAGAACAGTGGAAAACTAGTTTTGGCCTTGAAGGCATTTCTGACCTAATTATGTTGAACTTTATTTGCTCAGAAGCCCTTAAAAAATGCTCCAGTTTAAGGCAGTTTCCTGACCAGGAATGGGTTCAGACTGACTCCTACATACCTACATCCATCCAAGTCTGAAAAGTCATACAAGTATTCCCTAAATCATCCAAGCTTTTAAGTGTAATTTCCAGTTCAACCCCCTGGGCTATTAGTGTTTCTCTGCTGCCCGAAATGGGAATTTCAAAGCTTCACCAAAGACACCCTCTGAAGAACCTGCCCCACCTCTCACCACCATGAAGACACAGTTTGCTGAAGCCCAAACACAAGTCCAAGTCCTGTGCTGCCCTACCTTCCCTGCAGAACCATCAACCTCCAAACTCTCCCCAGCCTCTAAGGAAGGGTAGAAATACCTCACTGTGCTGGACACCACGACAGCGCAAGGCAGTTCAACAGCCTACAGCAGGATGGCTTCAACTGTCGGGGCCAAAGCACTCTACCCTGCACAGCAATGGAAAAGGAGCCTGCCATCTTATCAAAGCTGGAGTGGAAGAAACTGCAGTGAATATAACAACAGTTATGCTACCTGCAGCTATCTTAAGTGCTACTACTCAGTGCAGTCCCAGGTAACAAGTGCTGACACTTCCCCCAGCCTCATGGACCTTCTGTAGCCCAGGGATCTCTGGACCTCACTGTTCTGTGGCTCCCACAAACATGAATTTGCTCTCTGAGGAAACCCAGCCACTGCGATCGACCTTTCCTCCCCAAAACATCCTCAGCTTGAGTATGGATGGAACTGGAATGGGAAACTCTGAGCTTGATTACCCTGAAGCCCAGCAACACAAATCATGATGCTGTGGATGGTTTAATTGTCCTAAACCATTCAAAAGCACCAATACCCCTTGAGGCATAAGTTAGTTTTACCCTTGGGCAGTGTATCTTACTGAAATTAATCTTTCAAACAAACCTCAGCTTCTGATGATTCTCCTCTTCCTGAGTAACAAAAGCCTTCCACTGGAAGTGGGCTATGATTTCACTCTGATTGTGGATGACCATAGATCTGTAGTTTGACAGCGTGAGGTAAGTCTTCTCAAGTGTCAAGGAATTCCTGTCTAGCCTGATATTGACATCTACAGCCGCTCCATAAAGGCTTGTGTGAATATTTTCACCTGGAAAAAAGCAGAGGGAAGTCTTTGGTCATCTCATTTGCTGATGGAAGTACAAGAAACAGAGTAAACTGCAGATAACAGAACAAAGTGTTAGAGCTTTTAGCTATATTAGCAGTTCCACAGATCAGTACATTTATCACTTCCCAATAGCTGCATGTGTACAGCATGAGGATATCCTGGACACCACCTGAAGCACCTCATTTCTGGGTGTGTTTGTTAAGATTTATCCCCAAAGTGACAGTATTTACAGTGAGATTTTTCAGATGTGCCCAGGTGACCTTTGGGCTGCCATCCCACTCAGGTCACAGGGAATTCTGCATCGAAGTAATTCAGACGACTCTGAGGAGTCACGCCTCAGTCACAGCTTGCCCAGGGGCTCCTGTGGGCACAGCACCAGTGTTGTGTCTCTCCTGATCCCTTGTTGCTGACAAGCAAAGATGCCTGGGGGCACGTGGGCAGAAAAGGGAGGTTCAGAGGAACAAGGGAAGTGACAGCTCATGGCAGGATGGGACGCGGAAGAGAATTTCACTGTTGTAGAAGCAATGCCCTCACTTGCTATGGGTTTGTGAAGATACATCAAAATGAGACTGGTAGGGCACAGCCCACACCAACCTGCCCATTACAGTCCTGCAAGCCCACTTCTTCAGCCTGGATCCTGTTGCTTATGTTTGAGTGTGCAAGTCTACACTGACTGTTCCCAAGCTCTTCAACAACCAGAGCGAGGACATCTTTGCTTTCCACCTCAGACCAAGCTGAAGAGGAGAGTGCCCCTGTCTGTGTACATCACCTGATTAATGATTCAAGTCTTGCTGGAGTACCTGCCAGCATTTCACCTTCCAGAACAGACTCCCACCAACGGCTCCCTTATTTCCACAGCTTTCAAACCTTCATTCTTCTCAACCAAGTAACTCCTGGGGGTCAACTGAGCTCAAACTTCAGGACCAAGCCCATGCTTCCTGTTGCAGGTGAGTGTTTCCCACGTGAGGTGCAAAGAGTGAACATCAGACATGCTCTCTAGAAGTGGAACTTCTATGGAGTGGTGTTTAAAGCCTCAGAGACAGTCCCAACTGGCAAGTGCAGCAACCTGGTCATATACTGGAGAGCATTGCCCTGCAAAGGCAGAGCCTTCTCCTCACTGCACACTACAGGAAGGCAGCCAGTGGATGGACCCGCCTTTAAAAGGCTACCATGCAGCAAGGAGAGCGCTGAATGGACTCCTTAAATCCTAAGCCAGACAACACAGCAGTATCGCATTCATTCTCGGAGGGGGGCTGAGGAATGAAGCAAGACTCACCCTTAAAACAGTAGATCTCTACAGTCACTCATTCATCTCCACACATGGAGAATTCAGCCTTCACGCCTGTATAACCCCCAATTTCTTCACTCTTAAGGGAGTCTGGCATGGTAGGGATTTGTGGCCAGAGATGAGTTACATCGCAAGAAAGCCAGCAGTGTTTCCAATGATTGGGCAATCTGCTTTCTATAATGGACAACTTAGCAAATAAAAATAACTGAAGTTCAGAAGAGTTAGAGGCATTTATAAGCATTGCCTTTCCCCTTCACTGAATCCTCAGCATACATTGGCAAGCAGAGGAACCAGGACCCAAGAAATGGAAGATGTGCACAACTCGGGTCACGGAAACACGAGCTAACACTCTACAATGATCAAGACAAACTACTACAAAAGACATACCATAAAAACTATCATCATCTCACCATCTCAGCCCATGGTCATGTGAGTGTTGAAATATTTGGTCTAGTTCTGATCTCAAAAAACAAGCTAAAGAATTTGAAATTAAATAAAGAAGGGAAGAACGATTAAAAGTATGAAGCAACTTTTATATGAAGACGAAATAGGATTCCTCAACCTAGAAGGGAGATAGGTGGGAGAGGTTTGTAAAAGCAAGAATGGCTTGGGAAATGTGAATCAGGAAAAATTTGTCATGATTTGTCATAAAACAGAAACCCAAGAGCCGGAAATAATGTCAGCAGTCAGAAATTACACAAAAGTAGTATTTTCCAGGGAATATTCCTTCCTTTGGAATATACTCCCATAGGAAGCTGTAGAGGCTAACAGCTATAAATCCAGGGAGCAACCGGACAAATTCTTGGAAGAGAAAACCATCAGAAGCTATTAAACAAAGATGAGAATAAAGCCTCCAGCACAGAAAAGCGCTAACTCCAGAGCCCAGGAGGGAGAAAGCATATGTACTGCCTGTTTCTACGCGCTTTGCTAAGCGTCCCCTATTGCTGCTCTCCTGGAAAGGAGCTGTGGACACCACCTTTACACTCCCGGCTGCAGGCACCAAGGCCTCTTTTGAAGGCTGGAGGGTTTGTTGGAGCACCTTCTACCACAAAGAGAAATATCTGGCATTGTTCTGAATACATAAACCCACAAATCACTCAGTACAGTAGAGCATGCACAGATTCCAGTGAGTCAGGAGGAAGCCACAGATCTGTCTGCCAGGCAGATGAACTGACACAGAGCAGAACTGTCAGGGTTGGCCAAGGGCAGCTGCAGACTTCATTCCCTGAGTGCCAGATTAGATGCGACATTGTATTTAAGACTCTTGGTTGTTTAATACACCAGTTAAAAAAAAATAAATCTCTGTACTGCAACAGCAACGTAGCACTAGGTATTTCACTTGACAGGGTAATGTCCATAGTGTGTAGTTTGGGATGCTTTGCTGCCATGAAAGCATGTTTACTGACTCTGGGTGTATCTGCCCTATCATTATTTACACAACATGATCTTATTACAGGCTGTCATTTCCCTCATTCTTACATGCTTTTGATACATTTCCTACAGATGGCAGGACACAGCTCTCGCTCTGCAACCTGAATGAAGCAATGCCTGAACCTGAAATTAAAAGCTAGACTTTTTAGACAGCAGTAGAGCAGATGCTTTGGGTTGCACACTCCTGAACAGTGCTCTTTGTCACAGCAGAAATATTGCTGTGTTTTATTCCAGCATCCATCAGCGTGACTACGGACAGAGGTATCTCAGCACATTGCAGTAACTTTTCACTACCTTGAAGTAAGAAATCTAGCATTGGCTCATCCTCTGTGGGGCCTGTTGTGCAGGAAAAAAGAAAAAGAGGGAGTTTATACAAGAGCTAAAACATCTTTCTGAATTCTTCTAATACCACATGATCATCCTGGTACAAGAGGGAATAGTTTTCAGAGCAGTACAAATTGTTCTTAAATAGAAAGGCAAATTTTGTTTAGTCTGAAAGTATAGTTCAATGAATGGATGAGCAAACCTTCAAACAAGATTTCAAAACAAATTTGGGGGTTTATGAAGAATGTTTTCCTGGTATTCAACAGTTAGTACTTTCCTTCATTGATCACTGCTCTAAATATTAAGAAGCTGGTAGCCAGATTGATTAGACTGAATAGAAACAAAACAGCACTCTGCTGCATTTCATCTTCACTGAGACATATTCTTCCTCTAGCCCTGTCACCCTCTCTTTGCTGAATTTCGATTTTAAATTGTTTTAGGAGTCCATGACAGTCAAATTTGGAATATTTGGGTAGCATGGAAAGCAAGTTTAATTTCATTTGCCCTGTTTGTCAGTAGCCTGTGCCTTGCTCGCATCTCTTATGAACACAGCTGAAGAGAGACAGGTCCTGCTGCTTTTTCACTGAAAATACAAGCAAGCAATGAAAGCTGAGCTCTTCACTCAAAAGGGTGTTATTGTACCTCTGTATTGATCTGCGATAAGGAACTCTCTTGCTCCTGCTAATATCATACCCAACTCCCTCACCACTGCCAGCACATTCTTGTTTTTCAAACAGGATGCAAAGGTTGGCTGTTACCACTTCACCAGGCTAAGCAATCTCTGGAAAGCTGGAAAAGTCACCTACAGCTGGATCCAGTCCTCCCCACCGTATGCTTTTTGCTGTGCCTCCCACAGAGCTACCACTAGATCAGAGTCAGGAGCATTGCTCTGAGATGTTTCGCTGTCGGGAACCTAATGGCATCACCTATGAGGTGCGCTGGGTCTCCACCGACCTGAGAAAGGCCATCTGTCAGTCCCCCTGTTTGTATTTCCAGCACTAGAGCAAAACACAGAGCACTGACAGTCATTTTTAAGTGTTTCTCTAGGCGGTGTTCATGACATAACTTCAGACATCATTAAACCACCACATTATTTACTCTAACCTTGAAAGCAGCTTGTTTATAAACCTCACCACTAAACACCTGCTGCTGCTAACACAAGTGTTTCTAAAGAATCATTCCCAGGCTACAACAAAGCTTCAAGCATCCTAATCATTACTGTTGCCACAGTTATTGCTGTTAATCATCAGAAGCTGCCAGCACAGCCCAGGCCTCAGCAAAGCACCCACTGAGCCCATGCAGCACATTGCAAGAGGGTCCCTACCATGAAGGCATTGTGAGGAACCCTAAGACAAGAGATGGGGATGAAAAGGGAGATGGAAAGCAATGACCAGCCAGCAGTGGCCTACAGGACAGGTTGCAGGCTCTTCAGATTGCTCTGTTGCACATTAAAAGTCATCTTCTTTTCAATCAGGCTCCTTGTTGTGCATCCTTCTATAATGGAGCACCCGGAGCACTCCCCATTACCTCCTCTGCATTGCGCTTAGGAAGATTCGTTTGCCTTGTTACAGGATGAAATACTCCAGCACAGGAATATCAGGGAGCCAGCACAGAGGCTTTGTTCTGCCCAGCGTGAAGGAGCCTCGCAGAATGTATTGAAAAGGACAATGAAACCATCCGATGACGAAAGACAGCACTGCTGCATATCCAGGATGCCGTGGGCTATTTTTAATCATTATTGCTACTGCAGTAATGATACGCTGGGGTACCTGACTGGCTGAAACATTGCTTTTAGCCCACGGGGAAAACAGTGCAGGATTTTTCATTCTGATGGCCTGGCAAAGACATGCCCAATATACCACTTCATAAATCAATCTCCCTTCAAGATGCTTCTCTGCTTCTCAACAGATGTTGATTGATCCACAAGAAAAGGAGGCTA